TTGTTTCAAGGTAGTGTTTAACCTTATGATTTTCATAAGGGAATTGGCAAACTTACTAAAATTTAATCTTATTTTTAGAAACATTGATTCATATTGACTTCCACTGACCAATTGGAGGTCAAAGTCTTAAAGAATAATAACAAATTCCATTTTCACTAGAAAAACAGAAAACTACCCTTCGTTTCAAAAATTTAATTTTTTTTGGCATCAATTAGTCATTTTTCACATGCTTGCTTATTATTTAAATTAGCTGGGGCCTCTGTAAACATTTAGATTTCCAGCTCATCTCCAGAGAGTCTGAGCCAGGGCCCAGAAATATGCATTTTTAAACAAGCTCAAAAAAAAAACAAAAAACAAAAAAACAAGATCTCCCCATGAGTGCTATGATCAGACAATTATGGTAACTACTGAATTACGGAGTTCACCAAGATCTTGTAGGTTATTTTTTGATGAATATATGTGTGATTTATCTTTAAGGACCAAGAAAGTCTTACTGGAAACAGCGTATTTTATTTGCTGTTTTGGAAAATCCAGGAAAAGTTTCAACTTTTCAGCTTATGCTTTTATAAAACCCTGGATAATTTTAGGGAGGGAGATGAAATAGAATATTAGCAGCTTCTTTATTCCTGAAGAAAATAAAGCTCCTATGGTGTGAATTCAGACTTATTTAAACACCATGATGTTATGACTAATATATTGGAAGAGAAAACCCATTTTTATTTCTAATTTTTCCATATAAGTACTCTTCCTGAAATTTATTATTGCTTTACTTTGGCTTATAACCTGAAAAATTAAATACTGAAAATGTCTGTCAAGTTTTGCAGTTTTCCTGCTAAACACAGCAAAAAACAGCTCCAAGTGTATAAAACAAATGTCACTTTCATAAGAGCAAAGGAACATTTGACTTTCAAATAAAAATGTACCTGAATTAATGCCGTAGAGAAATAGAAAAGTTAGTTAAATGTTAGAAAATACTGTAGACTAGGAAGGGGAAAATAAAAATGTATGGATTGTACTGAGAGTGTCATCATAGGCTCAACTACAAGAGATTTAATGTGGAATTTAGCTAAAAAACAGAATACTAAAGGAAACTGCAATTCTTGTGAATACTATGGGAGGGTATTCAGAAAGAGACAGCGCAGTAAGGAGAACAGGCTATTATTATTTTTCAGTTGGCTTTTGGCATGTGTATGTCCACATATATTTATTACATATATTTAGATACTCCTATGTACATATATACATATTTTTGGCATTGCTTTTCTGGGGCTTAGTCATTCTGATTAATAAAAAACAAAAAGGGCATTGATACATTTTCAGAAATTTATAGCAGTTATTGTAAACCTAGAAAACTGCATTGATTTTCAGGTTATTTTTCTGAAGTAATCTTGTGTCGGGATCTACATTAGACTTCCACACCCACATCCCCAAAATCTATTAAAGCAAGCAGTCAATAAAAACAAAAGGCACAAAAGAAGACTTAGAAGCTTTTGTTTATACATATTTCTGTTTGAAAAGTGCTTCCATAAAACATCTCACAGGCCCATGTTTTGCCCTGAAACATTCAATTCATGTATTATATTCGTCTGGATGAAAGCTTGTAGTTGAATTGGCACTTGTAAATATTGAAGACTTTTTTCCTCTTATGGAAAGTAACCACGGAAAACAAGATAAAAATAACGTTAAGAATCAATAGGAGATGGCTTACTCAATCTCAGAAAAAATTAATTGCTAAGTAGTATTGAGTGCTTTTAAACAGAAGAGCACATGTATAAAAGATATATGAAATGATACATAAATTACCTAGTAGAAATATAATAATGAAGCAAAATGATTATTTTGATATCTATCAAACATTTTATTGATGACATGTATATTTACATATAAAATGACTATATTTTCAAGTATTTAAAGAACTTAGGCAATACATTTTTTCATTTGTTTTATAAATTCTCTTCTATGTAAAAATGGAAATATCTAATGCTCTGTAATTCCTTCTTCTCCATAAAAGATTTCTTTATGATAATCCTAATTACTGCATTTTCATCTACAATTTGTTGGCATCAATTGTCTTCTTCAATACTAAATAGTAGACTTAGGCTTTACCTGAGGCTTTCCTTCACTGTGCCTAATTAGTTATAATATTAAAGCAAACTGGTTAGACTTCTTTTTAAAACTACCAGTTAAATTGGCTGAATTTAGCCAGTTATCATATATTTATAACATAAAAATGGTTTCATTAAAAAAAATTTACATTGTACGAATAATAGTGTGCTTTATGGTCTCACAGGAGAATTCTAGCTAACATTCTTTTTAGTAAATAGTATACACTGATCTACTGTCACAGTTTTCCAACTTGCCTAGTGGAGTCTATATTTTCTTACCAATAATATTTATTTTGATTAAATGTTGGAGGTGATGGGTACCCCAATAACTCTGATGTGATCATTGCACACTGTATACATGTATCAAAATGTCATATGTAGCCCCCAAATATGTACAAGTATGATACATCAATTAAAAAAAGATATATTTTGGCCATGTCCAAATCATATGTTATAATAGTTTCTAAATATGTGGATTAGTGGCAATAATCTATTTTCCTTGTTTTTATGTAGGTAAGTTTCTGGGGCTTAACATTCATTTAAAGGTAGATTTCATAGGTTTAAAATATATATCACAAACTTTAAAGCAATCACAAAAATAACAAAACATTATGGCTAATTCAACAAACATGATAAAATGGAATTACTGAAATTTTGATTAACTCAAAAAAGTGCAAAAATAGGAATAACAAACAAAAATAGATTTGACAAAGAGGAACTAAATAGCAAGATGATAAATTTAAATTCAATTACATTAATACTCCCATCAAAGTAGATTTCAGAATAAAACTATTACCATGGATACAGGAGTTCATTTTCTAATGAAAAACGGTTGGTTTGATCAAAGAGACATTAAAAACCTGCTTATGTATATATTAACAGAGCTCCAAAATACATAAAGCAAACACTGATGTAATGGCGAGAAAAAAGAGACAAATCCATAATGACAGCTGAAAATTTCCACATTCCGTTCTTGGTAACTAATAGCATAGGTAGATAGAAAATTAGCAAAGATAGAAAAAACCTGAGTAACACTATCAAAGAACTTGGCACAAAAATTTTATGTAAGTTTCAGACTGAGATAATGAAATAAAACACATTAATAAGAAAATGTCTAGTCTATAAGAAAAATTAAATTACTCACATATTAAATCACTTTTTTATATAAATGGGGACAAAAAAGTATTTCAACAGTTTAATGGTTTAACCATAATTTTCTTTACAGTTCTTCCCTAAACTAATCTATATAAACGTTTCACTATTATAGATGTGCTTTTTACTGAATCTTACACATGTATAAGTAAATACTCATTTGTCTTAAAATTAATTTCAAGCCTGTATAATTTATGAAGTTTTAAAAAACTTCATCTTATGAAACATACACTTTGTATCAGATTGCCTACTGTAAAAGGTGAAAGATAGGAACTGGAATAGTTATTTCCAATAAATCATGGCAAACACTTGTCTATAGCTCACAAAATATATTTGGAAATAATTTTACAAAATATCCAATATTTGTTCAATTTAAGATGTCATTGATTTTAAATCATGCCATTATTTTATGTTCATCTAGGAAAGAATAAGTGCTCTCAACTAAATTGTGATGTAAGATATACCACTTTCTAAGATGTTAACATGTGAAATGTGCATGTGTCCTGAGACACTAAATGAGTGTGTTCTGAGATGGTAAAATGTGACTAGATGTGGTTTTTAAAATCTAAACCTAAAACCACATCTCTAAAATAAATTTCGTGTGAACTATATTTAGACTGTTGAATCACTTAAACAGCCATTCTAGACCTAGCATTTCTGGGGAAATATATAAATTCTCTGCCTGGAATATTTGAAGAAAGAAAGATATTTTCAACCCTTCCATCAGTTAATAATGCAATACCACTAAGGAAGTAAAAGGATTACATAAAATAAAAATAATTATTAACTCAAATATTTAATACGTATAAAGCAGTGTTATACTCTCCCCCAAATCTTTGATTTGAGAGTTTTTGTTGATGTCTTCATGTCTTCAGAAATCTAGCAATTCCTTGCACAATGACTCTAAGCAATGAATTAACTTGATTTCACTAATCCAACTGAGGCCATATTTAAACAATGATCCCAATTAGTCATTGATATCGCCCTGAGCACTTTCATTCTCCAGGGTCTCGCAGATACTGAAACCAGTAGATATTATAAAAAGATGCACAAAATGCTAAGAATTAAAAATATAAAAATTGTATGATGTTGATTTGTATGGTGTATATGTATAGAGGTGTGTATATATGGAATTCAAAATAGATTATATATTTAAAAGGAAAATAAAACAAATCTATGAATTAAAATACAATGAAAGTAACTGAGCGGAATAAAATCTGAGTTTTTATGTTGTTGAGCTTTATAATCAAAACTGTTCTATTTCTGAAATTCCCACTTGTTACAATAATTAAAGAAATATAAAATTTTAAAAATAATTTCATTAACTTTGATACATTTTTCTCCAAAGAATATTTTATCTAACATCAGGAATTTATTTTAATAATGAAAATAATAGTGGCATATGTTCTAGCAATAGCTATTTACAGGTGTCTTATGATAAACTACTCAAGATTCTATTACGTTTATAAACCATTAGGTGAATCTTATATAGTCAGATCTTAGGCAATTAATAATAGGGAACACATTATCAGTAAAGCAATTTTTTTCTTCTAGGTTGCACCATTGCATACTGGACTGCAAACTCCTTTAGAGTGCTATTCTTTGAAGCTTTTTATTTAACATACATTTTAAGTATATGCAGATATTATTTTTAATACAGATGTATAAGTAGTTCATTCATCAAACTTGGATATAATTTTATCCTCCTCTTCTGAATCTTATAAACCAATCTGGGTGACTTACCTTATCTTTTCTTTGCTTTTCATCCTGGTATACAGTCCAGTGTTCTCCATCATTGCTGTAAGCCAGTTTGTAGGAACCAACAAACTGTACGTGACCAAAATCTTTAGCTCCTTGTGTAATGATGCCAGTCACTTTCGTAGGAACAAGAAGATCCACCTAATAAAAAGAAAATACATTCTTTAAATGCAACAACCAAGTCATACATTTGCAAGTCTTTTGATTTCAAGAGAGTAAAACCACATATATCCTAAAACTAAAAATCTGCCTAGTTATTTGTATTTTTGAACCAATGACTGAGTCTATTATTGGCTGATAATTTTGATATTGCCACTGGGTTAACGTAGTCCAAGGCTCCTTGAACAACTATTTTAAAATAAAATCATGTTTAAAAATAATTTCACCAACTGATTTTATATTAAGCTGATTCATCATCTACTTGTGCAGTGTTTTTTTTTTTTTTTTTTTTTTTTTTTTTTTTTTTTTTTTTAGACAGAACAGGTCTGACTGGGCTGACCTTCCTGAGATTGATCACTGCCTCCCAGAACTTTACTAATAATTCAATTTTCTGATTTTATTGGCCATTGCAATAAAAATCCAAATGCTGTAGCCATGTACACATCAGCAACAAAAATAGTATTAGATGTTCACAATGGAACATTAGTCAATCCTGTATCCATAAATTTTGATCAATTTAATAATATATAACTGAGTAATAGTGATCATTTTCCAGTGAAAACCCCCTTTTAGAAAACTACAATTCTAAAAAGGTTGAGGAGAAGGCAAATATTCTTCAAAAATGAAGAAGGATTAAATATATGCATTCCTGACTTGTGGAGTCTATGCTCATAACGTGTCCATCTCTGCAAAATACATACTTTAAAGGATATGAGACCCATGGAAATTCAGTAAGCATTAAAATCATCAAAATGTAATTGAAATGCAAAAGATAGAAAACATTTTCATGAAAGAATACATAATATAGAATAGTTCAATACTTTCCCTCTTTGTTCCCTAATTCATTTCTGTATTTTTTCCATCTTATATTATGTTAATTTTTTAACTTTATTTTCTAAGCAGACAACTCTTGTAAGATGACTTCATCTTTCATGTTTACGTTCCTTGATCTACAGCTTCCTCTCTCTTCCTGCAATAGCCACTTATTTCCACCTATTTCCTATGACTAAGTGCCTTGCAACATCCTTGATCTTATCATCTTTAACTGTCATGATCCCATGTGTGATCTTGGTGCTTTCAACTACTGTGTCCTTTTGTTTCTATTTCAGGTCCTCTATCCTGTGAGATATAAGGTAGCTACAAATAGTCATCGGTCAGATACAGGCCATAAATGAGAAGCGAGAGCTAGAGAGAATACATAGAATAAGGCCATATTTAGTGATACAAATGCCCATTAGTAAAGGTGTGAAACAGTTTACAATGTGTCACAGCCTGTGAATATACATTTTTGAATTCATATGAGCTTTTTGTTACTTTTTTGGGACGTGTTAAAGGCTTCAGACTCAATTTTGGTGATAGATTAAGACAAAAGACTACCTTTAATGCTCTATTAAAACATTTTCAAAAATCAAATTTTTTGGCTATTTTTCTAAACATGTATTACGTTATCTAAAATGTTTTGTGTGTCCAGCAGTAACGCAGGATGGAAAAATTATGATATCCTGGGAAGGAAATGGTTGATGTCTCACATTGTGCTAAGTGTTTTCTTGTATGTCCTCAGATAATTCTCCCAATAACCATGCAAGCGAGGATATTAATTCCATTTTACAGATGAAGAAATGAGTATCAAGAGATGCAACACAATATGGTGTGTGATCCAAAAATAACAGTGAATAAAGAACTATCACAGATTCAAATCAAAGGTCCACCATACACAGAGTTTCTTAGCATAACGGATCAGTCATTGATTTTCCCAGTGAGTGATTACTCATTGATCATTTATATTTTCACTCAATAATTTCTTTCCACTCTCTGTGACTCCTTCAGAAATTTCTAAAGCATCACCACACTTGTCAAACTGACAGCAATTTAAGTCAAACAAAAACAATCCTGGATTTATAATATTAGTAAAGCCCTGTGTTTTATCATGAATTTCCTCTCTGTTCTTCAGCTATCTGGGCTTTAAAATATAGATTGCTTTTGTTGTCCTAAATCCAAACCAAATTGAGCAGAGACACAGGGCAAAGCTGCTCTTCTTCATAGTGTGCTTAATGTTGCTAGGACTCAATAAATGGTTTTTTTTAAAAAAAAAATCTTAAAGAACTGAGTCAGTGTTTTGCTCTCACAGGCAGTTAAACACACAGGAACTCAAACAGTGTCACCAAGAATACGATCACCTCCAGGCTGTATTCCTCAGGTCCTAAACTTCTGTAAATCCTTAGCTAAGATGATGCACTGAGGACTCTTCTAACGTCCCCTTTTCTGTGGCATTTTTTAAAGTCAGCTGGGTTTCCTGCTGGGTGGAGATGTTTTCTCCTTAAGTTGTGTGTCTTGGCTCTTTCCAACAGATATGTTTTTCTCCCACTCTAACTGCTTCGCTTCTACAACATTTTTTTTTTTTTCTATCTAGAAATGTTTTTCTTTTTTGTTCCAGTTAAGCCAGCTCCTCCGCTTAAATAGTCAGCAATCTGTTTCAAGCTGGATTTTGTCCTAAAATTTGCTACATTAAACTTAGAGTACTAGGTCTAAGCAAACCTTCTTTCAGTACAAAAATAATCAGCAACTCACAGTGAACATGAGGTTGCTGAAACAGGGCATGCACAAAACTCACCCCGAGAGGCACTCAGACCACATAACCCCAGAGTTCGGCATGAAGAATGATTCCAGAAAAGCCCGTTCCTCAGGACCTAATGCTTGCCCCTGGTCTAGGACCACTCTGCCCTCTTCACGATCTTCAGGGTGAAAGTTAAGCTGCAAATATGCTGGACAAAATACCTTCTGCTCTTTTAGATCCTCACCTCCCAAAGTTTGGCTAAAATAGGGCAGGTTATTTAGGGCACTGAGCTGGCTCATGGGAGATATTTGGCTTCATGCACTGCATGCTCATGTCTGGATCTGCCTTAAATGTATCTTACATATAACAGGCGCTCAATGAACGTTTTGCTGAATTGAGTTGGGACTAGTTCCTAAGTGTGTTCTATGGACAAGAACCAGTTTATGGCTATGAATGTCACCATGTATCAGCAGAAAATTCTAGCTCCTTTCTCTAGTTTTTCTATGAGGATTCTTCCTTGACACAGTGTCAAGGAAATACAGTGTCACTGTGGTATCCATCAGTTTTTACTGAGGAAAGCAAGTAGCAAAAAATCCTCTCCAATCTGAAGGAATTTGATTCTAAGAGTCAGCCTACTCTAATGGAACTGGGTGGTTTGAGATTCCAAATTGGCTCAAGGCTGTTGGACACGGTACTTTACCTCTCTACCTCCCAACTTCCTGATCTGAGAAATGAGGATAACGATTCTCATAGGACTTTATGAGAATAAGATGAGGTAATGTTTATTGTATGTACAGAAGTATGTATAGCAATATATAGACTACAGTTAGTTCTATGGAAGACTTTGGTGACATGATGAAATAAATAGATCTGAGGGAAGAATTTAATATTTGTCTCAGAATGTCTTGTTAGAAGGAAATGGTAACAGGAAAATTGGTGACTAGATTATTCTAGAAACAAGTTCTGGATCATAAAATATTTTGTTCACCATCTCACCAAACAAAAATCTCACGATACAACAATCATTAACTTATTTAAAGTAGGCAAATTTTGAAAAACCTGAAATTCCCATTTATGAGTGAAATGGTTAACTAAAAATAACATAGCAGGCTGGGTATGGTGGCTCACATCTGTAATCCCAGCACTTTGGGAGGCTGAGGCAGGCAGATTGTTTGAGCTCAGGAGTTCGAGACCAACCCGGGCAACATGGTAAAACCTCTTCTCTACAAAATTCCAAAAACTAGCTGGGCATGGTGGCATGCATCTGCAGTCCCAGCTACTTGGGAGGATGAGGTGGGAGGATGGCTTGAGTCTGGGAGGTGGAGGTTTCAGTAAACTGAGATTGTGCCACTGCACTCCAGCCTCTGCAACAGAGCCAAATCCCATCTCAAAATAAATAAAATAAAGTAACAAACTTTATATATTATGCATCTCTACTTAAATGCTGATTGTGGTACAATAAAGATATAGTTCTAAAATAATATTAAAAGGGAAAATAGATTCCAAATCTGATTAAATTATTTATTTCACACTAAGAGTGAAAACCAGGAGGGATACTTATGGAGAAAGAATTAAATGATTCAACAGTAAACAAAAAAGTATGGCATGAGAGTTCTGTGGGAACATAAACTTTTTTGTTGTAAAACATCCTGTAATGTTTTGGCAAAGCGTAAATATTTTTAGAGTATGTCTAACTTAGATAAATGGCATAGAATTTGAGCATTTGTTAGAGGAAGTTAAGATAAACTACATTTCAGACATCGGCACAGCACCCTGATCACAGTTCCCTGGAAGAAGATGGGGCGGACTGGAAAATTAATTCGATTTTCGTGGAGACATTCTTGAAGGGGTGAGGACAGTGAAAAGTGACACAGCTAAATAAGTATGCAAGAAATGTGAACACAGGTCAGTTTCACCACAGAATTGTGCCACTCAGCTGCATCTAAAATGCTCTTATTTGTGCCTTCATATCATTTATTCTGAGTTGTGTTTTTTATGACTTCGTAGAGTTCGTAAAATTAACTCACTAAGCAGAAATAACTTTGAAGCTAATATGGTTAACTAGCATAGTATTTGAAAACTGACTTACAATGTATTTAGATAACATTTGGTTTCAGTAAAGAAATTTTAACCTTAACATTACATGAAACAATTGTAGTTAGTCCCATTTACATTTAATACACATAATTAGTTATACTTGGTAGTTGGACAATATTGTTGGTTATCAGATGTTGGCTACACTTGTGGTCCATATTTGTAGACCAATTAGTTAATGCAATTAACAATCTGAAATTTTTAGCTCCTGTGTCGAATTTGATCTAGTTCTGATCTACAGTCCGGAATCTTAAACTATGTTTGAGACCTGATAACATAAGCATTCTAGCACTCATTATAACATTCTCCCCTTTACTAAGAAAAAAATTAATTT